TTATCACAAGAAAAACATTAGTAACTATGTGCAGTGATGGATGTGTTAACTAAACTTGTGGTCATTTCACAATATATTACATATATCAAATCATTATGTTGTACACCCAAAACTAATATGATGTTAACTGTCAACTATATAGCTCAATAAAAAATTGCTTCATTGAACATTTTCAGAAAATGAAAATAATAAGATATTAATGTTGTCTGCTTACATTAATTATTGGAGATGTTGTATTACTAAATTCATCTATAAAATAAAAAGTAATAAGCACTGCCATATTCGTCTCCCATCTTTAAAATCCCAAATTCATAGGCTGAACATTCAATTCCTGACTTTAAAGAAAACCTGCTTTTTCAGGCCTGAAACCCATTTTGAAAGCAAAATTTTTACTCTCTTTTGTGTTTGTACACTGAACATATTACTGTTTCATAACCATACTGCATATGAACTAGCCTTTACGCTGTCATTCAAAGGGACTGTGTCCCTTTGGGAGGCGCCACCTTTACCATCTGAGGTAGAACACCTGCAGCAATCTCACATGGAAGCTGAGAGTTTGGGCTTTGGAAAATCAGAAGAGCTGGGCCCACAACACTACCTTGCAGTAAAAGAAGAAGAAAAAATTTTCCTAGTAAATGAATTGTTGAAAAAGGAGAATGCTTGCAAGAGAAGAGGCCAGCTAGACCTTCAACGAGGAGGAGTACTTGGATAGGCAGAGGAGAGCAGTAAGGGCCTCCCAGGGAGAAGAAATGGCATAAGCGAAGGTCTGGAGGTGTCAATGTACAGGCTGAGTATAGAACAAGCTGACAGGGCTTATCTGGGGGTTCAGAAAGGAGTAGTGTGTTTAAGGCATATGAGAAAGACAGTGTGAGGGGCTCAGAATACCAGGACTAGCCCCTCTGATTTGGGAGATGTGGAGGAGAAGAATGGTATGCTAACGGAGTTTGAGGATGGCTGATCTGAGGGCATGGGCCAGACGGATGGAAGGGAGAGTGGAAACGGTAGGTGCCCGGGTGAGTGGGGGACAGCAGGCCTCGGACCAAGGCAGCAGCAGTGATGGAGAAGAACCTGTAAGATGACGGTACATATGGAGAATCAGCTGACTGGTAACTCATCTGTGGCTTATCAGAGAGAAGGGAGGTAGACCAAAGGGAAGGAGACAAAATGATTCCAGGGTCTCCAGCGAGGGACAAAGTGGAGGATAAGCAGTGACATCCCAGGCCATGCTGGAACCAGGGGCAAGATCCTCAGCTTGGATTTAGATGCAATGAGTTCATGGCAGTGGAAGTCCAGCCAAGAGTGGGAGCTGCCAACCTGGAGCTCAGGGGAGAGGTCCCCAGTACAGCTGTGGAGGCAAGAGGTGAAGGATGAGGATGGGTGACATCTTTGGGGAGGAGAGTGTACGAGGAAGCCACAGGGTAGAGGACTGGCCCTCTGAACGAGGAGAAGAGCTGGCTATGCAGGCAGAGAGGAGTATGGGAGTAGTCAGGGGAAGCCAAGGAACACAGGGTCATGACTCCAAAGTCACAGGAGGAGAGGAGCTGGAGAAGGAGCGGGTGCTTGGATTGAACGCTGCAGGGAGTCACAAAGAGTGGGACCACTGTAAGGTCTGCCCTTTCAGGACTGGTAAGTCATGATGACCTTTAGCTAGGAGCTGGAACAGAAGCCAAAGCACAGGGAGTTAAAGATGAGTGGGTGGCAAGGACATGTTAGAGCAGGTGTGGGCCACTTGCTCAGAAGTTTGCCCATGAAGGAGGGAGAAACTATTACAGCAGCACCAGCGCCGTGTAACTGCTCCCCGGGCCTCAGGGATAGCATAGGCAGCATGCCAGGGGCCCTGTGTGTCTGTGATTTCCCTCCAAGTCCAAACCTTCTGTAGGACTTCTCAGCCCTAGTCCAAGGACAGAGAAGAAGGAAGCTACATTTGAACCACTTTCCCAGAACTATCTTCATGGAGGACAGTGACTAATTTGCTCCATGGTCGGATGGAAGGTGGGGAAGGTGTGGGTAGTAGAGAAAAGGGAGCTGTGTGGAGGTTATTTTCTGCAGAGTCAAGAACCTGAAAAAATTGAGGACTGGGGAGCCTGGAGAAAAATGTCACAGATCTATGCTCCAGGCAAATGTCCCTCAGGCCAGTTATTAAAAATACCCTGGCTGCAATCCTGCTTTTTCCATGTAAACCACAAGCCAAAGGGCTGTTTTTACCCACTGTCCCTGATGCCATCTGGCGACATGTCAAGAGATTCAACAACTGTGTGTCCTCCCTTGAAACCAGAGAGCTGACGCTGATCCCTGGTAATCTCCTGTCACTTTCCAGCGCCCTCAAATGAGGCTTAGGCTATGTATAGCTGGGGGCTGGCACATGATGTGTCCGTGCAGGAGGCAAGCAAGGCAGCAGAACTGCTGTCTTATGGGATTTGAGTGAATACTGGGGCCTCGTGGGCTGGAATGGGCTGGCCTCTGAAACATCCTCAGGGGAGAGGGAGGCTGTTGATTGTTTCTTTTGGCCCTTTTGTACTCTGACTTTGGTCAATGCCAAGGAAGAGACCCATGGGCCAGCGCCGGGCATTCTTCCCACTCCACCATGTTGAGAAGTAATGTAACAACAGTAACACAAATAACATCTATTGGGTATTTACTATAGGCCAGATAATGTGCTACTGCTCCGACACCTTACATGAGTTATCTTACTGAAGATTCACAAAATCCACATGAAGTCGAGGTTTGCAGATGAGGAACTTGAGGCACAGAGAGGGTAGGCAATCGGCCCAAGGTCACGTAGCACTTAAGTGACAAAACTGGGATCCCAGCCCTGACTGGCTTCAGAGCCCAAGGTCTCATCTCTTCAAGTACATTTCCTACACCCGGGTCCCAGAGGGACCTGGATCCACATCCCAGTTCTGCTACTTATCAGCTGTGGGACTCTGAGCAGGTCACAATTTCTCTGATCTCAAATTTCTAATGTAAAAAAAATAAGATCTCATTCTTGCAGGAGTAACATGTATGCAAGTGCTTAGTGAATGTGCTCTGGAAATTCACCACAGGGCAAACCCATTACAGCCATTACATACTAAGCTGGCAGTTTGACCCTGAGCCCACATCAGCATTACCTGGAGGGAAGCCTTGTAAACACAGAGATTTCAGAGACCACCTCAGAGTTTCTGTTTCAGCAGGTCTGGGATGGGACCCAAGGGCTGGCATTTATGACAAGAAATGCATTCCAGGCATGGCTGATGCTGCTGGTCCCAGGCCCACACGTTGCAAACCTCTGCTCTACAACCATCCCCATTGTACAATCCCAATCTCTCATGGTGTAGCATCTTGCGATATCCAAACTGAGGGAAGGAGGGAGGCTGGGTGTTTTGCTGTTCATACTAAAAATATCATTGTCATAGAATTTTTAAAAGTGGATTTGACTGACATGGGGCCAGGCCATGCTCTTTTCTGACTTTTCTCAGCTGTTCCTGAGAGCCTGTGAAAATGTGGTCTGGCAGCCCAAAGCCTAGCCTGCCCTGATATCCCCCTCCCTGGTCCCCCTCAGAAGAGCCCCTTGAATTATTCAGTTTACTCCTGCAACCAGGGAGTAAGCAGCCCTTTTCTAACCAAACCTTCCACAGATTGATGCGCCTCATCTAAGAAAAAAAAATGGTGGCAAAGCGTTCCGCTGGTGGAGAGGCCTCCTGAACATAAAAGAGTAACTGGACGAAGGGATCTGTGACTTGTCTCCCTTCTATTGCACATTAAAAGGCAGAAGAGAAACCTGATATGACTCTGCTGAACTTTGTGAAATGCCTGACTAGTATTTATCTTGATGACATCCACTAATGACAGGCCCCTAACCTGGGTGCCGTGTGGAGTTTCTCACACTCATTCAGGGTAGTTTCAAAAACAGCCCTTTGTCGTGCGGCTCGCTGCATACATCTCACCTTTCTCTCTGTGCCAACTCTGATGAAGGTGGAGTGGTTCCTGTTTTACAAAGGAAGGTGCTGAGCCTGGAGGAGTTCAGGGACCTGCCCTGCGGTCACATGGCCAGTGCCACGCCTGGGCATTGCCGGGACTCAAATCCGGTGGGCCTGTCTCCAAAGCTTGTGTCCTCGCGGTGCCAGGTGGCATCTCACGTGGCCGTTAATGTGTGGTGTTCCCTTTTTTCCTTTGAGCCCGAGAGATACCCTAATTTCCTTCTCAAGTAAATCGGGTGTGTGATGGCAGATTGGTTGGGCGTCCTGGGCCGGGGGGGCTGCACATGGCAGGGTAAGGCAGAGGCGGGTGGGCGCGTGCGCAAGTAACCTGTCGCTGGCCTGGCTCACCTCCCGCGTGGCACACAGCAGATGGGGAGAAGAGGCCTGCCTGGCGCGGGCAGCGGGCGGGTGCTCCTGGAGCCGGCGTTTCGGGCATGGAGAAGAGGCTCTGGCAGCCCCGGCGCCCTGCACGATGGCACGCTGGCCGCTCCCCTGCCCGGCTGTCCAAACAGCTGATCTGGCTAAAACCACATCTAGATTGTAGGAAAGGGACCCTCAGAGGCCTCACTGTACAGGTTCAATATTTTGGGGGACTAACTTGCTTGGTGGAACAAGTTATTGTAAATGCTAAGTTATTGTAAACCCCTGCACACCACCCAGCAAGCGCAAACGACGGGAGAGTAGGGCTGCTGCTTGTAAAGAAAAATCTTGTGATTCTGAAGCAGATTTTATCTCTCACTTTTTAGTTTACTGCTTTATATTATACTAGTCCTTATAATAGTTTTATGGGGGTGACTTTCACAGTATCTCAGGTCTCCACTTAAAAATTATAACTTCGGGAGCCAAATTTTTGTTGGGCTACCTCAAAATTTTAGAACGGCTACATCAAAGGTATGATGACTAGACATTTTGCTTGGACTCCAGCACTGTAGTGAGAGAAGCTTCCAGTGGTCTAAAAGCTTCTGACTCAACAGTATTTTCCATTGTGTAAAATCTCTGTTTCTCTATTAATTCTCTATGTGGAAGGAAGAATTTCCCCATCACCAACTCAACTCTGGGTCTTCTGTTTTTCCACCACCTCACCCCAAGCACCAGGTGTTTCGTTGAGAAATGCACAACAGACTCTCATGGCATGGTTTGGTGCACTTGGGCTCTGAGGAGGTCTGCAATTTAAGAGTGAGCATGGGTCTGCATCTTCTGAGACAGGACTGGCTCTATGTGAGGATTCCTTCTCAAAGCCAAACCAAAATAAGCCTGACCTCATCTGATTTTTCAGAGGGCAGCAGGTGCAAGTTTGGAGAATGCCATATTTGGGTAGCAAACAGTTGGAAGAAATACCTGAATCTTGTGTGTGTTGCTATTCTCTGCCCACTGTCCCCACATCATTCCATCTGTAGATTTACTTGACTCCAGCCACTACATTTTGCTTGCCTCTCTTGGGATTAAGAAATGTAACCACTGGGATATTTGCCAGTGCTAAATAGGCTTGAAGGCAGGGTCAGCCTTTTAAAGTCCAGAAGTTTCTGCCCGTGCTGAATATATACTTTGGACAGAGAGTCTTGTGGTTTTATAAAAAAATCCGTTTTACTCATATTTCAGTGAGATTAAGCAAGGATGACAAATAGTTGCCTGAATCTGACAGGTTCAACCAAATTGTTTACTATTCCACTCAATTCTTTTTTAAAAATTAATTTAATTTTAAAAGAGATGAAGGAGACATGTATCTTTAATATAGGCAATGTATTTATAATCCCTTGCTTTTCCCCTCTTTCCATCCAGGCAGCCAGCCAGTCAGTAAAACCTGAAATCTCAAGAAGCTGCTGAGCATTATAGCCCATTTGCTCACACTGGTCATTTTGATTCCACACATTGTCCAACTGAACAATTAAACATTGCTCAAGTGGAGGTGACAATCCAGAACACAAACTAAAGATACTTGTTCTGTTGTAAGTTGGCACCGCTTCCAAGTGCGGAGCGATCCCTTTCAGCTGTTCCTTGGTGCAGTACAAGGAACATGGCACTTGGAACCAAACAGCTCTGAATTCAAATCCTGTTTCATGCTCTGCCGTTTTACAGCTTTGCGACCCTGGGCAGTTTCTCCTTGATTTTTGGCATAATTTCTTTGCCTGCAATGTGAGATAATGTAAAAACTCAATAAAATAACATAAAATGCCCACATAGGGCATGGTTTGTGGTACGTTCACAGTGAGTGCTGTTTCCCTTCCCCCCCCATTTCTTCTGTTCATTCAGCAAACACTGTTGAGTTCTCTCTCACTGTGAGTCAGACATTGATCTAAGTGTGGGGGTACAGCAGTGAAGAGAATAAAGTCTTTGCCTTTCTGGGTTTTACATTCTGTGGGGGTGTCAGACAATATGCAATCAACCAGACAAGCGCTTTAGAGAAAAACAGAGTAGAGGAGAGAGTATAACCTGAGTGTTTGGAGGTGGTCAGGAAGTGACTTCCTTGATAAGGTGACATTTAAGCATAGAACTAAAGGAGTAAGTCCTTATCAATAAAAGACCATCTCCTTAGATACCAGGGGTCTGTCATCTGCATTTTAAAGTAAGCAGTGCATGAATATTTGGCGAACAAAGGAAAGAATGAATATCTGGGTGCCCACAGGCTTGACTTTACATTATAGAACCCTCATCAGTTTGCTCTAAGAACCTTTTCTATAGTTTCCCATTAAACCTTTAACATCTTAGTACCCCATATTCTTATACCTCCAGGGTTCTCAGATTTGTCATTTCTTTGCGGGATAAGGACATTTGCCACAGGCACCAAATAGATGCTTTTCCTCCCTTTTGGAAGGTACACCCTCAACCCTGACCGAAGATTACTTGAAAAGGCACCGTCTGATCTGACCTTAGAAAAACCCTCAGTTCACCTGGAAACTTCTCAAGTAGTGTAAGGCTTCCCACAGGCCCAGATCATTTCCTGCTAAGGGGACTGTGTGAAGGGACAGTGGGAGCCCCCTGGCAGGCCTGACTGAATCCGAGAGCACACCGGAGCCCCTGCAGCCCCAGAACCAACGTAACATCTCAGCAGGTCTCCGGATGAGAGGTATGCCCACAGCCCAGTGTCACTCCGGAGAGTCAGCAGGCAAAAGGCCAAGCAGTCGCACTGTGATTCTGGCCACCAGAGAATTTCTCCAGCTCCAGAGGCCAGTGCTTTGCAAAGTTCACTGTGTCTGTGAATCACCTGGGATCCTGTTTAAATGATGCTATTGCTGCTGCCCTAGGGTCTGTATTTTGAGCATCAAGGTTCAAGTGGTCCACAAACTTGGCTTCATACTAGAATCACCCAGGGAGCTTTTAAACACTGTAATGCCTGGATATCATCCTTTCCCCCATGACCAATTAAATCAGTACCTTGGGAATAAGACCCCGGCACCAGGATGTTTTACAACTCCTTAGGTGATTCCAATATGCAGCCAAGGTTGATAACTGCTGCAACTGGCCAAGAACATGTTCTAAATTTCAAGTGACAGGTGAAGGGAATTAGCATTTGGTAAGCACTGGCCCTATTTCAGGCAATCAATCAGGCATTCTACATAGATTAATATCCTAAATAGTAACCAGCATAACAAAAATAATTATACCAGATACTTGCACAGCTTCTTATAATGTTACAAGGACTTCTGATTCACTTGCTTTCATTGAATTCTTTTAATTCACTGAGCTAGAGACTACATGACTGATTCTCTAGATGAATCAAGTGAGGTGCCAATCTGTGACTTGCCTTGGATGGAGTAGTAAGTGTAAGAGTTCAGGCGTTGCGACCTCCCATTGTCTGCTTTGTCCAAGCACTGATCCCTCATCTGAGGTTGGATGTACGAGGATGCCCATGCTCAGAAAGTGCACCCAAGAGTCATGTCAATGGCACTGGGCACACTGCAGACTCTGTAGAGATTGTCACTCCCATCCTGAATGATACACAAATTGATGAGGAGACTGAGGCCTGAACAGAGAAGGGAGCTCACTCTGTTAGGGGCCTTGGCAGACCCAGATCAGCAGCATGAAGAGACTTACTTAAATGGCAGCAGAACCCAGAGGCCTACATTGCACAGGATTCTGATTCTTGATTCTGGTGTAGATGATAATCAGCCTCTCCTCTGACCCCATTGGGCTTAATGAATAATCTGTGCTAGAATAGCTGTGTAAAAATTACTGGAAAATAATCTGCTTACTAGCACTGGAAAATTGGTCATAACAATAACCTGTCTTCCTGCAAGTAGACAGGCCATTTCCAACCATTTTTACATGATGATCCTGCCATTTAGTATCCCAGAGGGCTTAGAAGAAAGCTGCTGGGCAGTCTGTGTGGGAATGGCAGCAGTTTTTATGTGGTGAGCTAAAGTGGGACCTCCTCAAACAGGAAGAGAGAAGGCCTCTCAGAGGGGACACTGAGGAGTAGCCATGGACCTCGCACTCTGGTGGAGGTCAACCTGGCATGCAACTATCAGGATGATGTGGCTATTTCTGTGGCACGACCCCAGATCACCTGCAGCCCAGTGAGCCTAGTTCACCCTAAACTGAATCCATTTTTACTGTTCACAATGTGGAAAGCATTGTTCTTTCATCATCCATTTACTGACTCACTCATTCATTTATTCATGCCAAGATTATTGAGAGTCTGTTAAGAGCAATGGATATTTGATGAATTAACATTTTTACATGGGGATTCACAATACTTATTTTCATGTTCTAAAATGCTCCAGATCCAATCAATATATAATGGTTACAGGTTGGCCTGTTTAGTTGCTCCTACAAAACACACATTACCCAGTGAACAATATCAACTTTGAATATGAAATGTGATAGAGTGTGCCAAGAAATCCTAAGCTCATTAGAAAAAAGCATTTATCTTCTTTTTCAGGTTGGAATGCTGGTTTCCTAGAAGTGGAGTAGTCTAGAGGAAAGGGAATGAGCCTTGGACTCAGGGAGAAGATCTGTGTGAAGGCAGGAGGGGAAAGAGGAAGACCTTAAATGATGCCCCATACCTGAGTTAGGGGAGATGACACCATTCCCAGACAGGGCAGGAACCCATAATGTGGGCCACACTGCTCATGCTCCGCAAGCGCAGACTCCTCTGGACATCAAGGTATCCTTCTGTCACATTGTCACATGACAGGTTGGTTCATTCAGTTATGTTTTTAACTCACAAGCAGTATTTTAGTCCTTTCCCATAAGTACTTGATTCCATTTGTTTTTTTCACTACCCTTATTACCAGATTTGCTCTGAATTCAGGTTGCCTTAGAAGATGGCCAACTCTAAAGGGAGAACTCCAACATACGTCTCCATGGACAGAAAGAGTAAGCTAAAAGGAGTCTACCGGAACCTGAGAACACCTCTTAAAGAGACTGAGGTGCAGTGTGACTGAGAATGTGGAAGGGGCTAATTTAATAAATGGTGCTGATGAGGGTTGCTTAATGTATCAGATACAGACTCAACATGTCTTGGAGATCAGAGGGAGAGCTGAACATGGGGGACATCAAAATTCTGTGCTCATGGGCAACACCCACCCACCCCCGGGTCTTGGCTGGCTGTGAATAAGCAGTCCTGGGCCCTCTGAAAGTGGCCTGGTGACCTCAGTCTGTAATGTGTTGGAATTAGACTGGGCTGTGACTGAAAAGGGCAGCGTGGGCTGAAAGAGCCAGCATTTGGGGAGAACCGTCCATGTGCCCAAAGCTGTGGTCCTGCCACGCTACCTCAGCGAGTCTTCACAAGACCACAGTTATCTCCTCTTTATAAATACAGAGACTAATTGTAGACAGACGTCTTCTATGATCCCAGAGCTCCCTGATTTGGAAGCCAGTGTTAGAGCGCACCACCTCTCAAGCACTTCAACCCAAGACATACTTGTGACGTTGGAGGGCTTTCCCTGGCAATGTTTAGCAAACTTGATAGGGGTAGCAGTTTGCACTGGGAAACAGAAAACAAAAGAACAAGGAGGAATTGGAACCATTGTGCATACCCATCGCTGGTGCCTCTGTGCCTTGCAATGTTAATACGATCTGGCCACTGTAGTGGGACTAAGTTTACTATCTTGGTTGAAGCTAATTGGAACAGTGTATAAAATTACAAGTCCCTCTATAATTGTGTTGACACCTCAATAGAAAAATGGGGAAAAGGCATAGAAAAAAATTAATGAAAGAAAAAAATGCAAATGGAAAACAATTTTATGAAAAATTCAGTCTAGCTAGAAATCAAAGAATGTTCATTAAAACTACAATGAAAATCTGAATAGACAAAGATTTTTAAAGCCCTGGAAATTGTGTCAATATCCAAAAATAGAGAAATTATTTTAGAAATACATAGAGTCATACAATAAAATACTAGGCCAGCATTAACATTATGTTTATCAAGAATCTAAAATTATTTAATGATGTAGGAACACTTGCAATACACCGAAATGCATAAAAGCAGGAGACAGAACTGTATAGATGGTATAAACCCAGTTGAAAAATGTGTGTTTACACATAGAAAAAAATACTGTAAAGAAATTTATCAGAACATTAGCAGTGTTTATTTCTGGATGGCTACTTCTATTGTCTTCTTTTTCCTTGCCACGTATTCTGACATCTCTAAATGAATGTGTGCTGTTTTGTGGGTGAAGTACCCAGCCAGGTATCAGAATTACCAGCTGTGTAAGTGACATCTATGTGGTGAGGGGTTCAGAACAATCTAGATGGTTCTCAGGATTCTTTTGAGCTCTAACATTTCATTCATTCATTCCACAAGCATTTACAGGACATTTATGTAGAACTATGTACTGAACAACAACCCTGGGGCCCTCTAGAGCTAGACTGTGGCCAGCCTGGATGCAGTGTCTGATTTGGTGCCTCCTGGCATCATCTCACCTGCCCTTTTTCTGCCTGAGTTTTTAGTGACCTCATGTTCTCTCCCTTCTCCCCTTCACTTTATCAAACCCTGTTTTCACACAGAACTCACACTTGGTCACCTGGAGGTGTAAGTGATTGCCAACATCTTAAAGGATTCATCTCCCTAAGGGGCTTGACTAAGTAGGAATACAAATGTTACCCTAAAGGAATGAGGCCCTCATGGCCAAGTTTTACAGAAAAGCCAGCAGGGCAGGGAAATATTTGAGAGTTGTCAGAATCTTCGCTGTCCTGGTTCTCTTCTGGCCCTTGCTTATCTGTCTGATAAATTCTACTCATTCTCACCATTTCCTCCTTGCCATGCCTCCCACACCTCCTCCAGAAATCAGGTTCTTCCCCTTTTCTGGGCACTTTCAGAGAACCTTAGAAGCTGCTCTACTATTACAGTGACCCCATTACACTGTGGCTTTTCCAAATATTTCTTCCATATTAGGAAGCTCACAAGCCTCATTTTCCCTGTGTCCACAGCATCTACCTCCGGCCCAACCTGGAGTAACTGACAGATGTGTAACTAATTGATCAGCATCTCAAGGCCCCAAGTCAGGCAGAGACTTTCTCACCTTGTGGATGGGGAAGTTTCATCGTCATCCCTTAGAGTAGCAGACAAAATACACACAACTAACCATAGCTCCTATGGATTTTGATCAGGATGGGAATGCCCTTATGTATGAATTATGAGCTTCTAATCCTTACCCTTCTAACCCCTACAAATCCCTCATGTTTTTCAACCTGGATTAGGGGAGTAGGGGGCGACTCATAACATTGGAGAGGAAAGTCAATTTAACAGGTTGAGATCAATATTTTTTAAGTGAGACAGAACAGAGTAGACATGAACATAACAGAATATAATAGAAGACAAAAGAATTTTTTAAAAATCCAAGTATCCCCAGATAATGATAAGGATCATCCTATGAAACTTGGGCCTCATCTGTGGCGGGTGTCTGTGTACACTGGGTCACAGTGGGCTTGGTCAGAAACGTCAGAAGCCCCCTTCCTAAACCACTGGGAGAAAAGATGACGGCTCTCCGGGTGCCACCTGCCCGTGGCTGAGACCTCACTGTCACGGAGGTACACGAAGAGCTGCCTCCTCTTCTTCTAGCCCTCCAACAGCCACAGCCCAGGCACTGGCAGATTATTTTCCTTAATGCATTCTTGGGATCCAGCGAATTAAGAGGGCAAAACAACTATTTTTACCAGGAAGAAAATGTGAAGACTCACATCATATTCTCCTTCCCACCATGGGATTCTTGGAGCCATTTTTGTCCTGGATTCTAAGCAACAGCCTGCACCTGACGGGTAGCTCAGAAAAGACCCACCTCTTTCCCCTGTCCTCACTAAGGGAGCCTGGCCTCCACCCCAGCTGGGATTTGGCATTAGTGGTGCCCTCAGGACTATGTGCTCCTCAGCCCTGTTGGTGACACAGCCGGCATCCTCAGGCCCGGCAGGGCTGAGAGGCTCTATTTAAGGCAAGCTCTTGAAAGGATCCTCAGCAGGATATCCGGCGCCTAATTGTACACCATCTCATTCCAGCCATGGTTCAGGGTAGGTGCTCAGACTGCCTTCACCTTCACTAGTTGAGTGATCTTGGGCAACTCAACTTCTCTGTGCCTCAGTTTCTCCATATGTAAATTAGGGATAGTAATTTTACCTACCTCATAGAAATACCATAAAGATTAAACCAGCTAACATACACAAAGTGCTTAGAACAGTCCCTGCACATGGTAGCATTCAATAAATGTTCATTATTTTATTATCTCATAAGTATGTATACTGGTTATTATTTTTTCCATATGTAGATAAAAAATGAAGCTCAGAGAAATTAAGTCATCTGCCCTATGTCGTGTCCAGTAAAGGCAAAGTAAGAATATAAATCCAGAGCTCTGTGTTCTTTTCTCCTGGGAGCATCAATTACCTCCTATGCCCGAACTTCCACCTTGTTAAGTTTCCGGGACTCTGGGATCAAGGGCCTGAAGGGATGGGGAACCTGGGGGAAAGTCCCTTCTCATGATTTTGCATGTGGCCCAGAATTAGTCTTTGAGGGAGGTAAATTTTGGGGGAGTTAATGTAGGGGTGTATGTATGACAAGGAATCAGAGATGGGGGTCATGGCTTGCTAATCACTTCTTGAGTTCTGGACTAACTAGACAGCAATGAGCATATAGGGTAGAACCATGATTCCTTCAATGAACTTTTCCATTACAATGCCTGTCAACAATTGCAGAGGCAGGTTGAGATGCAGTGAGTGAGGGTTTCTCTGGCTCAGCAGCAGCTGTGCTGTATCCCTGGTTTACTCCAGCCTGTGATTTTCCAATACATGGTACAGAGACCTAATAACCGTACCCACTATCTCTTCACTTGCAACCTGCAGAGAGAACCAACCTTCCATATCCAGCCCCCAGGATGGAGCCTGAGAGAAAATGTAATGGTAGTAGTGATAAATATTTTTTAAATGCTTGGTGTTTTTGGCAACCAGAGCTCTCTGTAAGGACCACACCACCATAGATAAATCCTCTGAAAATAGGTTTTTCTATGATGATCATGAGACACTTAGGATTCTGAAGTGCTTTTCAATTATCAATGATATTTAAATATGTTCAGAATGTTTTCATGAGGTTTATTACTGTTTACTTGTTTTCTGAGAATTCAAATCTGCATGGGTTTTATATGTGAATTCTGTTAAAGTATTTGATTCAGCTGAGCTTTCTGATGGTGCTGGTTAATAAACTGCTATAATTCTTGAATCAGCCTTTTCACAGACTTTTTCTGGGGCTAGATGGGGCATGAGGCCTGATAGGGGATGTTGGTGACTGCTAGGATTCTTGGCGCTCAGAGGTGCTCCTGAAGTTAAGTGACCTCAAACGATAGGAGGAGCTGCAGGAATCATCCCTGGGGCACTCACAAAGGATTCAAAATAGGGACTAATGCCAGGTTTACAGACAGGCTGTGTAATGTAGAAAAAATATAAACTGACTTCAGCATCTGACCTGGACTGACACCTGAACTTTCCAAGGGAAAAAAAAATCGTGTTAATGAACGTGCGGCTCAGACCTTCACACATCTACACTGTGTAATGTTGCCTGAAACCAAATCACAAGAGAGGAGAATCACTTAGTGATATTCCCCAGCTGACCCATGAAGAGAGACAAGGTCAGATGACTCCTGCCTCCGGGGCCACGGGGAGTGGAGAGAGCAAGGAGTGGGGCATCAGCACACGGAGAGAAAATCACAAATAGCCCCTGAATTTCATTTCAGCCAGTCTTTTTTTACCAATACTTCTAACATGCTCTCAGGTACAGTAGCTGGGGCTATTGCCCTTGGAAAAGCAAGAGAGGGGGCACCATGTGACGGACTATAAGTCAGACTTACACATGGTGCAGAACACCCAGTTGCCCCCATTTTAAGAGTCTAGACCCACCCGTGGTTGTTCAGACATCCCAGCTTTGC